GTAGTATTCAGTAGTTTTTGACAAGACTGTTTTAGAATAGTCAGAGTCTACAGAATTTCTTCGATATTTTTTGAATAAAACACAACGTTAGAAAGTGATGTGTTTTTTTCCCACTTGGTTCAAAAACATTTTCTGGGAGGAAAACACGGCACCATTTTTTTAAAACCATCGTGATTACTGGTTTGCAGCGAGTGGTGTATATAGCTATTTCAAAAAAGGTTGTCGGGTAAAATGGCGATTGTCAATGGTCGAACGGCGATTGCACGACCGAAAGTAGCCATGGGTTTTGCTAGTTGAAAGGCAATAACAACTGATTTGTACTGTAAGATGGTCTGTGGTAAACATTGGCTCCATTTAGTCACCATTTCTATGTAAGGTGAATCCAATAAGTGAAATTCTGTATATCAAAACAATGTAACCATAGTCCCTTTCGGTCGTGCAATCTCCCTTCGACAATCGCCGTTCACCGTTCTCCCCGACAACGTTTTTTGAAATAGCTGTATATAGTCCTCGTGGTTAACTAAGTTATCATTTCAATTTTGTGCTTTGCATTGAAACATTAGAACTTGGTTGAATATCAAATAAATTTAGTGAAATATATTTAAACTGAGTGTCTAAACGTCAGGCAGCCTGACGTTTAGTCCCAGGACTAAACGTCAGGCAGTCTAATTTTTTCTTATAAAATCGTCGGAACAACCGTAATTTCAATTAATACAACTAAGGAAATGCAATGAAGATCGAAATAATACTGTTCGACAAGTTTCTAACACGAGCACGGCATTTTGAGATTTTTCGAATGCCTGACGTTTAGTCCCAGAACTAAACGTCAGGCAGTCGATTTTTGTTGTGAAAAACCGTCGGAACAATCGTAATTTCAATTAATACAACAAGGGAAATGCAATAAAGACCGAAATAATACTATTCGGCAAGTTTGTATAGTCACAAGCCCCGGATACAAGCACGGTACTTTGAGATTTTTCGACTGCCATTTTGAAATCAAAAGTGAATCGTGCAATGTGATTGGTTCTTAGGAGGTTGATTTCAGCCTAAATCGCACTATTTTCAATTCTTAATCGCACTCCTTTGAGGAGCCAATTACAATGCAAAACAAGTATAAGGCAACCAATCACATTACAGCATTGTGTGTGGCTAGCCAATCAAACTACAGCAAAAATGACACAAAATGTATACTTTTTAGGTTTTACAGCAAATTTTTAATGAAAATATTTCTGCAAATAGTATTATTTCAGTTCTTACTTAGAGTTTAGGATGACAAAGTACTATCTCAGTGCAATTTTTCATCATTTGATACTTCTAAACCCTGACTAAAGTTAAATTTACAGTCCAAAAATGTCTGAAATGTTTACCAAGGGATGCCGGCAAGTTCAAGTAGTTCAGCTTGCAACTGCAACACCAAACTATTCAATCTCATCTAAAGAATGAAAATTTCCAGTGCAGACATCCTCAGACTTCGGGTCACTAATAAGAACAAAGACAGCAACAAAACTTTGGAAAATATTAATTTGTTCGAATGTACATCATACTGCTCAAACAACTCGAAATTTCAGGTTAAGATTCTATTGAAACTTCGTCAGTATATCAATTATTATTATATTATTATTATTATTATTTATTAATAAATTTTATTGCAATCTCTGCGATGAGATTCGCGGAAATTAACTTTGAAGAAAATTGAAGTTGTTTTTATTTTGCATCGTTTATCCAAATGCCAGGAAGCCCATGTAAAAAGGTTTCAGACAATGTATACTTCACTTGAAAATACATGCACATATTAGGTTTCATTTTTTTGGAGCAAAGTTTTAAAAAAGCATGAGGTAGAGTTACTCAATTTTTGGGAAAAGAAATTTTACTGAAAAGTTCACTAAAAAAAGATGCCAACTTGAAATAGAAATAAAGACAATCTGCCTGCATTGCCTTTAGCATAGACCGCGGAGCAGGGGGGCTCCGACGTTTGTAATTTTCTTGAATATAGAAGCGAAGAGCCTCCTTATAAAATGTCACCATATATATTCTATAAAAATTGTGTAAAAACWTAGCGTGAACAATTAAAATTGAAGCTTTTGAAGTCTTTGGGATTTATTGATAATATCGCTGACCGTGTGTGCGGTAAATATGTCTTGGATAACGCCTCAAAACGCTGGAAATGACATTTCAAGATTTCAAAAAGTATCTCCTCGCCGCTAGCAGCCCCCCCCCCCCCCCCTATCTGAGCCAATAATACTCGCATATGAGACAGAGGCACTACTAAAAGAAGTTCTAGCAATGCGATMTGTAGGGATAGTGGTAGTGAAGGAGGTGTGGAAGTTTACCCAAACTAAAAGAAGACTCGCTATAATGACCCAGATCTCAACAATTTCATTGGATGCCTAAAGCCTTGAAAAGCAAGAGAATTCAAGGAAAAACGATAGAGAARATAAACTTATCTTTATCACCTGACCGCTATAGATTGTATTTTCGAGTTTTAAAAAGAATCCTAAACTAATACAATCGATTATGCCTCATAGTAAATTATATTTTACGATAGCTTTTACTCATCTGAAATTAAATAATGCACCACGAATCATGGTGAGAAATAAAGATATTTYATCTTAAATCATATCATTAACAAATTAATGGTGTTGTTTTCCACTTGAAAATAAAYTATGAATTATCTATAACCGCTTCTGCATTCCAGATCTTGAAAGTGTGTTATTAGCATGGCGGACCCGCCCAGTTATGCATAGCGCAGTCCAACAAAGCTATAAATAAAACGTAGGAAAACCTGCCAGCTAGTCTTTTGTTCGTTTTCTTTAAATATCAACAAATTAGATAATTAGACTTCTAAAATCAATCAAAATTTTTTTGGKCAGYTGTTAAAAAATCGAAAAATATGAAAAATGCTTAATCGATAAAACAAGCATTCAACTATATTCCTTTTTAAGTCAAACAAAATGGATATTTGTGTTCAAGCTTTRCGTACAATTTGTTATCGATTAAGTTATAATAACCTTTTAAGCTTACTAATCAGCCAAATTCAAGGTCAAGCGTTATAAGTTAAGCTTGTAATTTCCTTCAAAAAATATAAATCTCGRTATAAAATTAGCGTTTATTTATAGACATCAGACATAATATTATCAGTAATAACGACAATAGAAAATATTCGGTCTCGGCTAGTTTGTTCAATAGCGACCCAGGTATCTTCAAACACTCTGCTCAACACCAGGAATCAACTGTTTAATACTGTTTTTCGTATTTGTATCTACATTTAGATTACGGCTCAACAGTTTTTATCATTATATTCATAAAGAATCTTGTAAATTGGTAGAAATTTGCCTGAAGATCAAGGAACGAAATCGCTGAAACGTTCGTTTGTTAAACTGTACAGAAATAAAGATGAAACGTACTTATTCAATTATCGTCTTCAGTTTGAAGCTTTTTTTTTTGGTGTCCTTAGAGCTATTTTTTGTAAGACTAGCCGCCATTTTTTTTTTTTTTTTTTATCTTTGAAAATTGAGAAATGTTAATTAGGCGACGAGGCGAGTATAAAGAATTATTGCTCCTCTTGGGTTATCCCAACCACATCTCTTTGAATTAGCCATAAATAACACAGTAAATGTGTTTCATTTGATAAGTTAAAATTCTCGTTGRTGGGATAATCTTGAATCAGAATATATCGACCTCATCAACCAATCGGAAGACATCAAAGTTGCTCAGCGCGTGCTATCACGCCCCATTGGAGTTTTGCCCAGATATTAAAACTGCCGCATATTCTATTTGACCTCTCTTCGACAATAATGCTAGGCTTTGCGCAGCTACCTTGGCAATGATTGGGTAATTGCCTTTCTATAGTTCGGAAAGAATCTAGATCAAAAATAAGGATAAAAATAGACTCAAGTGTACAATGATTGAATTGTAAATAACTTATTCCACTAGATTTTTATTAAGGCCTCCAATGAAAGTGGAAGTACTTGATCCATGAAACGAWCATTGCTTATTACTACTAACAGCGTTGGTCAAGCAATGTAAAATAAAGGAATCATGAGCATAATTTAGTGYCATTTTGTAGTATTTAAGTTTCACGAATTGACTCCGTCGTCTCTAACAAACAAATGTTTGTATAATTGATGGTACATAATATATCRGCACATCTGTAAAAATTATTTCATGTCTAAGCTGGTAACTGCAGCTTGTTATTCAATCACGAGAAAATACTTACCTCGACTTACTTACCATACAATGGTACCACGCCTATTCCCCAGGCTACAAATAGCAAGTACCAGATGTTTGTTCATGCCCTTTTATTTCATAACTCTGTTTTTCTTCGAACACCGCACACAAAGCTTGCGTACTCATCAAGGAATGGCTGAAAGGTASGTTCTACAGATATACAGATGGGTATGGCTTAAGATAAGGTCGAGYAATTATTAAATTGAAAAAGAGAGTCAGCTTCGATTTAAAATTTTGWAAAGCTAAAGAAAATATTATTTGATATATGACAAAATATAGAGTGAAAAATCGTTGAATTAGAGTAGGTATCTACAAATTAAAAGGAAAGAGCCTGTTCCAGTTCTGAGAAAAMTGATTGCTTGTATTATCTTGATAAGCAAATTACACTGAATAGATATACATAGGGTATATGATTATGTATTGACTACAGGGAGTGCTATACAAAAAAGGATTAAAACGAAAAATACAGCATGAAATAAACCCTGCGGATAGCTAATATCTTGTATCATAGGCTTACAATCTATAGCAAACTAAGGACAAAGCGACTTCTCTTTGGAGGATGCYTTTATTCMATTGTTCAAATCTGGTTTAAAGTGATTTTATGAAWAATGACTCAAGAAAGAAAAGGTTATCGAAGCGAGGATTCATTGGTAGCATTGTTGTGTTTCATTGACACGCGTCAATGCTTGTYTTTCTATTGTTAACTGTTAGAATAAACAAAGAGGACATGAATTTAAATTGTCGAATTTTGTAAGGTGGTTAAATATMGAACTATTTTCTTCCGATGCATGTTCATCCAGACGAGTGATGAGGTTTCTTTCTGTTTTRCCCGCTTCGTATTTACACAAAATCTAATTGAAAACCTATCTACTAATGCGACGCTACTAAATAGAAACTGTTTTCCTGAATACCAGACAACTATGCAATTCTGAGACGCAGTAATGTATAGAACAGAGCTCCTGATGAACGTTAATAAAAAATAATAGAATAAATGATTATATAGTCCCAAGTCGAAGTTTGAATTTCTTGTATTTGGTATGTATTTGGCATATATAGTATATATTAGCTTTATTGATCAAAAGTATTTTCTCAATACATTGACCTTAACAACATCACTTCACAAAAGTAGCCAATTATAGCTCGGCTTCTAAGTCAACAAAGTGCATCGAAAAGCTAATTGCGTCAAAAGCCGGACTCAAGCCAGAAAAAGCTTGCTAGTGAAAAAAATCACGAGCTGTATTACAACTACGTCTATAAGACAGAAGCATTTTTCCGATTTCGAAGTCAGAAAACATCAAGGCAACTACTCATTCGCCAAATGTGGCAAATCAAACTTCGTGTTTTGTGTACACACTATGCCCGGTTAGTCTAGATATTTAACAGAGTGGCTGCACAGCTAAGAACGTTAGTTAATTCTCCGTGTTTCCATATTTCAAACGAGACATCGATATTCTCAAATCACAAGGAAACATCTAGAAAAGCTTCAAGAATTGGAAGGAATCATTGCAATTAGGGTTTACCTTCTCAATACATATACACATAGCAGTATATCCACCGTTTGGAAGTCATTTTGCTACAGCCAGTCCAACACTTCAAAACATGGGATGATTTCGTAGAGGGTGCTCTACTTGGTAGGTTTTAGCAGCTGTATTRTGCACCATGGTTGCTTAGGGMATTCCRTTCTTGTCGATCCCCTATAAAAATCTGCACTTCATCTGGTCTTCATCGACAAATAAAAAACTGGACTTAATCAAATTTCCATGGTGTCTTCATCGACAAATATTATGCGCAATGTGAATTCTCACGCTCTACAGGAGACCTTGTGCATTGGCGGGGACATCAAGAGTCGTCTTTCAGTTACAGGTATTCGTGTTATATACAGGCTTTATGCTTCATATTCCATYGAACATAATGTTTTATAATTATTGTAGCTTAGCCTCTAGCGTTTGGCTTGACTGTTGAAACGCAGGGTCATTTGTAATGTGAATGCCCCTCTTTTGGGGAGGATCGTTTAGGAATTTTCTATTCCATTGAATAAAAACAAAAACAATTTTGCTGAATTTTCACCAATTTTATTACTTGCTTTAAATTAKCTACATTTTATCGAGTTCTTTGTTGCTTTGTRWTGCTGATGTTATCATAGACTCTTGCAAGAACCTATTCTAATTGAAAAGCAAAACTTAARAMCGAAAACACATTTGGAATTTTTCAGGAAAGGTAAACCTTCATGGAGTCTGCAGTTAACTTTCGATCTTGKGAAATCTGATTTTCTGCTTTTTATATTTTCATGTGTAGCAAAATTTGTCATTTAACTGAAATTKCATGTAAAAGTATAAGATCACGATTGTTTAATTACACTTAAAACTGAAACCACTACATAGGAAGCTACAAACTTAGTAGATTTTAATGTCACCATCTTGACGAACTCGTCCTAGTTATTGTCGTTCGTTGTTGCAAATCGCTTTTTAAAAGGTGTGTACCGTATTTAYTCGAATAGGCGACGCGGCRTTTTTCACGATCCAGCTGCGGCGTTTATTCGAGGRYCGCGTCTATTCGGGGCGCGGCGTTTATTACAGCCGTTACGGATAACACGTAGGRAGTCGGACGAAAAATCCTACTGGATTCATGCATTTTACAGATGTCAATCATAAACATTTGAAAAAGGTGYCTTGTTCCAGGGTTGATGGRTTTTGTAGTTAAAGCAGTAACACCTCGAAAGGGTTGAAACTAGGTTTATATCTTGATTTTGGCTTGTTTCGGCAGCTCTCACGCTGCTAATGACTTTTCGGACTTATCGTAGTGAATTGTTGTTTGACAAGTTTGACAGGTTGATTTATGAAACAATRAATGAAACATACATACAAATATAATTAGTAAAGCCTAATCAAGGTAGCTTATTTCACACTACATACAACTCGATGGTCTTAAAAGGTGCTTTAAAGATTTCAAAACAAGCAGGATTTTGCATTGTTTCTTATTTCTTAGTCCAATAAGAAAAACTTCTTCCCGGCATTGGTCTTAGTTTTGTTGGTATGTGTTAAACATTAAGAAGTTTGCATTACTCGCATGCTACATTCTTCGTGGGTGAACAGTGCTCTTCAAACTTTCTGTTATTGTACGATGTTTTTTTCCTTCTGAGAACGAAAATGTGTCTTAGACTTCAAAGCCATCTCATGTCTCCGATTATGTACATTGTGTAGAAAAAAGCACAATTCCCCCGTCCTTCCCGACAACGCCACTTGCCTTGAAGTATAATTATAAAAAAAAATTCTGGGTGACTTCAATTTTGATTTTTGTCGAGAATTAGGGGCTCAATAGGCTGTTCAATATCTTCTGACACCAAGTTATAAATCATGCAGACTTAAATGTACTGCTCTAATTGTACATCTACTAGAAAAATTCTTAATCATCGGGCACACCTATCGGGTTAAAACATTATACAAAAAACCTCCCTGTATGTTTTCTTATGACTCATCATACCAAGTTCTACTTTGGGTGAAAATCGTTTACTGGACAAATGATTGCATYAAGAAAAAGGGGCACATAATTTGACTTTCAAGAAAGCACACCTAATCGACTAACGTGTTGCCTCGTAGATTAATACTACCTAATTCAATTAGCATTCAAGCCTCTGGGTATACGAACTTTTGTCTACAGGAAATCGACATATTCAAAACGCATCAAAACGCAAACAAAAATAAAACGCAGACTTTTTCCCGGTTTTCGCAGATCTTATTGCGCTTAACTACTTTCGCTGTACATTGCTCACATAGTACAGTATATTTTTTTAAGGTGTAACATTCTTGAAATGGATAGATAGATAGTTTAACAATAAAACCCTTGCAGGCACAGGCTGAATTACGGCATTATTTACATATGAATACATACAATGGAAAAAGATAATATAAAAAACTACTAAAAYTATTTAAACATGATTACAAAGTTCGCGAAAGATAAAGCTTGATTAAATGAATTATTTACAATTGAAAAACATGATATTATAGGGGAATCTTAGACTAATACAGCGTTCGCATAGATAAAACTTAATTTACAACGATTTTCTCACAAGCAGGCACATTAAAGGCTATTTTGGTTCTAAGGTTTTTTGAGATTGGTTTATCGGAGGCAAAAGATTGTTCAGTTTGTGATTTGGGTCCTCTCAGATCTCGGTGAAAAGCTGTGTAGTCAGGGACACTCTTCTCTCGCTAAGGAGTTCCAGGCCAGCAGATTTTAAGGCTTCAGAATAGCTGGTTTCAGGGAAAATAGCGCGCTCTGTAGTCTTTCAATATCCTCTCAAAGATAATTGGGAAGGCTGTTACAGAAGACCTGGCAGGCGTACTCGGTAACTGGACGGATACACGTCGTAAAAAAACACAGGAGCTCTTTCGTGTCTTAACGAGGGCGTTTGAGCTGACGTAATAGGTATAATCTTGATGTTACTCTCCTCACTATATCGTATTCGTGTGAATTCCTTTTAAGGTAATTTGAGATGGTTAGACCAAGCAGCTTGGCATTTTATAATGTGTCAATAGGGCTGCCATTTATAATAACAGGCTCGAAAATGCTTCTGTTCTCTCTAGAAAAGCTGATGCATACTTCTTTACACTTAGATTCATATTTAATCTGAAATGGTGTTGAGCGGACTGTGTAGTAAGTTCATCAACTACAGCTTGGACGTTGCTTGGTTTACCACGTGGAACAATTTCTGAGATTGTCGTGTCATCTACATATTTCCAAGTACTATCAACAGGAACATTGATGTCATTGATCATTACAGCGAACAGCCAAGACCCCAATTTAGTACACACCAGCTAGTACTCGACTCCGATCTGAATAACAATCCTGGGAAAGTTTGACCCTTTGCATTCTGTTTGTGAGAAAGTTTCTAATCCAATCTAAGACCCATGCTTGGAGGTTATATTGGTGAAGCTTGTCACAGAGGATTTGATGGTCAATTAGGTCAAACGCTTTCTTGAAGTCGAATAGGACGACACGGGCAGAAGCACCATTCCCGTCTGTGCCTTTGTACCACGAGTGAAGCATGCTAATCARTGYGTGTGTRGTACAWGATTTSGGTACTGTTCCATACTGGTTAGGGTCGATATTTTGCATCACCGCTGGTTTAACAAATTCTTCAACTATA